GATCGTCACCTCCTCGGCTGAGCCCGTGGAGCCGCACAGGGTGCAGTTCCCGGCTCCCCGCCAAGGCAGCCCTCTGAGCCCAGGACAGCCGCGCTGGGCCAACTACGTCAAGGGCGTCATCCAGCACTACCGGGGTAAGGCCCAGGCTGCCGGGCAGGTCAGAGCCCCCATCGTGTGGGGCCGGTGCTCAGCACGCGGCTTTTGGTGTGCTCCAGGGGCTCTTCAGTGCTGGTGCAATCCTGCAGCTGCTGCTGGGGCCAGGCTCCAGCAGAGACACTTTCAGCTCCACAGACCCCTGTGTTTGGGGGGGGGTGGGATGCCTGGGTCACACTCTGCCGTGGGTCATCCTGCATTTTAAAATGGGATATTGGACAGGGGGTCCTCTCTGTCAGCTCCCCCTGAGCTGTGGGGCAGGGCAGCCCCCAGCCCTGCAGGGGCTCCTGGCTCCCCCCCCTCCCTTCTGTTCCCGCAGGTGGTCCCGTGCCGGGCTTCAGCGCCGTGATAGCCAGTGACATCCCCCTGGGCGGGGGCCTCTCCAGCTCAGCCGCTCTGGAGGTGGCTACTTACACCTTCCTCCAGCAGCTCTGCCCCGGTAAGGCAGCAGCCGGTCCTGGCCCCTGGCACCTCCATTCCCGGGTGGGAGCCGGGATGAAGGGGATCCCACAGCCTTTGGGGAAATGCCACTGTGGAGTGGGTCACAGTCCCCTGCTGCAGCTGGAGCTGGCACCACTGTGGCTATGGGGCTCCTCCGTCTCACCCAGCCTGACCTGGCCATGCCTCTAAAGCCCATGGACCACCCCTGGGGCTGGCCAGGGGGATGAGAGGATGTTCCCTTGGCAGCAGCATCTCCCCACCCTCATGTCCCCAAAAATGGAGAGATCTGAGACACTGGTGTCAAATTATTGCATCCAGCTGGATCCAGAGACCCACGTTGGCATGGATGCCGTACACTGGTGCAGGAGCAAGCACCTGCAGCTGATGCTTTAGCTAAACCCCGTTCCATGGGAAAGCAACTCTTTATCTTCGTGTTTGCTCCCCCTGCTCTGAGGCAAGGGGCAAAGGTCCCAGAGCTGCTAACCTGCACCTCTCTACTCTGGCACAGATGATGGTGATTTGGCAGCCAAGGCGCTGGCGTGCCAGAAAGCGGAGCACACATTTGCCGGCATGCCCTGCGGGATCATGGACCAGTTCATATCCGTGATGGGCAAGGAGGGCCACGCACTGCTCATTGACTGCAGGTCAGGGCCGAGCACTGAGCTCACAGCACCGTGCCCATCTCCTCAGGCAGGCAGGGACGAGCTAGTCCCATGGCCATGAAATAAATGCAGGAGTGCAGGGAGGGGTTAAACCCTGAACCCAGCCCAAAATCTCATTGCGGGGCTGGGGCTCCCTGCGTTTTAATTCCTGTGTCTTGATTCCTCCTCCTGCATCCTTTCTGCTACTTGCCTGGGCTGTCTTTCCTGCAAAGTCGCTAGGGTCCATCATGGGACTAATAATTGGGAGTGAAATGCTCGAGCGAAATCCTAAACCATGTGAACTTTGCCTCTGCGGAGGCAGGAGCTGCCTGCCACATGGCCTCTCCCCGGATGGCCGAGGGCTGGAGCAGCAGGGGGACAGGCACACGAACTGTGCTGAGCTCTCGCTGCAGGTCCCTGGAGACCGTGCTCGTTCCGCTGACTGATGCCAACTTAGCCGTCCTCATCACCAACTCCAACGTGCGGCACACGCTGACGGGCAGCGAGTACCCCACACGCCGGCGGCAGTGCGAGGAGGCAGCAGCGGTGCTTGGCAAGGCCAGCCTGCGAGATGCCACCATGGCTGAGCTGGAAGGTGGGGACGGTCCCTCCCTTGGCTCTGGCTGCTCCTCGGGGCAGCAGGAGCTCGGTGCCCCATGGCACAAGCTGAGACTGCGGGGCAGCACCTGGGTGGATGGATGGATGTTTGTGCTGGGACAGGAGCGTGTCACGAGTGGAGATGCAGGGTTTCGGGATGCGGCCGTGCTCACCCCCAGCAGCATCCCACAGACTCAAGTGGTTTCGCTGCAAGGATGTGCGTACCTCCACAGCATCCAGGAGCCGGCTGGGCGAGGAGGTGTACCAGCGGGCCAGGCATGTCATCGGTGAGATAGCACGGACAGTCCAGGCAGCACAAGCACTGCAGGACAGGGACTACAAGACATTTGGGAGGCTGATGGTGGAGAGTCACAACTCCCTCAGGTGAAGATCTACCACCTCTGGGCAGGGCAGGCTGCACTGGGGGCACAGATGTCGGGTCCTCATGGGGTTTCTTTGCCCATGGGTGCAGCACTGGGGGCAGCCAGGGCCATGTCCTGTCCAGCACCTCTCACAGCTCAGCCTGACGGGGAGTTTTAAGAAAAGCCCCACAGGCTTCTGCACCAAGGGGGTTGCTGGGATGAGACAGCCGGTCACATACGTTACAGACGTGCACTGCTTACAGCAGCGCCCAGCAGGTCCCTGATGCTCACAGCCTTGCTCCTGTATATGTGCACTTACAGGCAGAGAGCTGGACCAGGATCTGCGGCGTCCTGCATCGCTGCAGTTTGCTACAGCAACGGATACACCAAGATGCACGTTTCAGCTGTTCATGGTGCAGGGGCTATGGCCGGGGTGCAGGACAGGGCTGACCACGGGTCTCCTCTCTGCAGGGATGACTATGAAGTGAGCTGCCCGGAGCTGGATGAGCTGGTAGCAGCAGCCCTGGAGGTCGATGGGGTTTATGGCAGCAGGATGACCGGGGGAGGCTTCGGAGGCTGCACGGTGACTCTGCTAGAGGCCGGTGCTGCAGAGAGAGCCCAGCACCACATCAAGGTACATGCCAGAAAAGTGCCTGGAGATTGACTTAAAGATCCCAAGGAAACACTCAGGGGCACGGCCCGGGGATGCCATTGAAGCTGCGCTCCCGAGGCACTCGGGTTGGTGTAGCCCATCCAGTGCTGCGTGGGGATAGCCCCAAGTCTGTTGATGCTACTAAGCTCTTGCAGGCAGTTCAGCGCCGTGCTGGTCGCGGAGTGCTGCCCAGGGACCTCGCTGCATTGAGAAAGTGACTGAAAAGGTGCTGGATGAGCTTCAGGAAGGCTAAATCTATCCGGGGAAAAGTAATTCAAGTTGAGCTTAGGTAATGCCAGCAGTCATAACCCAGGAAAGATCTTGGTGCTGTCATCAATGTTCTCTAAAGCCGCAGCTCAGCGTGCACTGGTAGCTGAAAACGCCAGCAAAATGGAGGTGTTAGGAAACGGGGGCTGTGAATGAGGCAGAGCCTCATTTTGCTGCTGTGTGAGATCATGGTGCGCCCTGTAAAGAGGAGGGGGGATAAAGAAGGGGCAGAGGACGATGTCTGAAATGAGACTGAAAGGGCTGTGCCTCTGCCATCTGATGAGAAGCTGGGAGAGAGGGAACGTGACCAGGAGTTACAAAACAGTGAAGGGGGTAGATAGGGGTATTCCTCTAAAACAAGAACCAGCGACCACTGGATGAGCTTTAGGAGAAAAGCAGAGCCGAGAAAGCCCTGCACAGAGCTGGCGGTGGAGGTCGGCGGCATCAGCAGCCTCAAAAAGGGGTTGGAAAAAGTCAGGGAGAACAGCTGCTGAAGGGTGAGCCTGGGGATGTGTCGCTAGCCTCCCTGCCCCATGCTGTGCATGGACCAAGGGACCCCAGGCAGTGGCCAGGACAACATGCTGTCCCCAAAAAGCCTCTCCCGTGGCTGCTGTAGGTGGCAGGGCCAGACGCAGGGCTGGGCTGAGCCTTTCTCCTGGCTCTGGCATCCCCAGCCCGGCCCCTTGCTGCAGCACGGTACAGCCCCAGAGCACAGCACTTTCTGCTCCTCTTGTCTCCTAGGAGAAATACAGCGGCACAGCCACCTTCTACCTCACCAAACCCTCCGGAGGGGCAAAGGTGCTGCCCTTGTAGAGGAGCGACACCTCACCTGGCCTGGGATCCCCTCCCTCCGAGGGGCAGCTGCTTTCCTCGCTTTGCAAAGGAATCACTTTGTCCGTCTGCATCATTTCCCTAATAAATGCAAAACATTTGCACAGTCATTCAGCGCCCACCTGAGCCGAGCTCTGACACCAAAAATCACTGGGGACCTTTCCTCGGAGGAGGCTGGTTTAACTCCAGTTCGTACTGGTGTAACGAGCCATTACGGGGGACGCAGTGTTCAGTAGTGCCACTGGAGCTGCAGTCACAGGAGGGGATGGCAGTGGAGGAGCAGCAGGCACTGATGCTTGGCAGAAACCGCTGCTTGGGTATCTGCTTCTGGCACGTGGCCTTCATCTGCTGCTGCAGATGGAGAGTATTGGAGGGGGGATGATTTTTTTTAAATTTTTTTTTTTTTTCTAAAGAAAAGGGAAGAGGCAGACTGTAGAGAAAACATTTATTGAGTGCAATAGGAAGCCATCTAATCAAAGACCCACAGTCAGAGTGGGCTGCTGGATCCACCTCGGAAAGGCTGAAACACCACCAGCCCTAATGACCCGATGAAAATTAAGAAGTGAGGCTGTTCTAGTGCGAGGCATGGGTTAGGTGGGGATGGCATGGCCCTGGAGAGCAGCAGCTGATGGGCTGTGCTCTTCTCTTGGATAACAGGATAGTCTTTGGTTAAAATATTTGGAAGCAGGGCTCCCTTTTTAGGCAGTTTTCAACATTTTATCCTGGACCACTTTTTCAGAGTCCTTGTGCAGGAGGAGGCACATCAGCTGGAGAGGAAACCCCAACCACACAGGTGAGATGGGAACTGGGAGGCAGGCAGGCTAACACCAGTGGTACTTGCTCAGGAAAAATAAGTGCTTCTTGAAGGCACAGTAAAACCACAAGGTTGGTGAAGTCTCTCTTGACTCAAGTTCAAAAGTGACCCAGATCCAGCTGCAGTCCTGGAGACTCCTGCGGACTTTACTCACCCACGCGCATCTTTGGCTCAAACCTGTCCAACCCCTTCCACTCAAGTGAACAGCCCCGAGAGGAGAGGAAGCTCTTGATGAGGTCAGTGCTGGAAAGTCATCTTCTGAGTCCAAAAAAAAAAAAAAGACCAAAAAAGCCAATGTCCAGCATCAGATCAAATCAGGCAGGCGATGCAGCCAGGGAGACCACGCAGCTGCTGTTTTGGTTGGAAGCTCTAATCCAGAACGGTGGCAGCCGCTGCTTTGGGCAGGGTCCTTGCTTTCGTCAGGCTCCTCGCCTGCTCCCGTGCAGCTGAAGCACGCCAGGGAAACGCGCTGTTCAGCAAGACACGGAGCCCGATTGTTCTCACTGGCAGAGGGCAGCGAGATGCCAGGTGTCGTGCCGAGAGCCAGGAGACGAGGCCCATCGGTGCCTCGGCTCAGCCCTGCACCCAGCACCGTGCGAGGACAGCTAAAGCCGAGGGCTGAAGGAGGCTCAGAGACTTGCTCAGGACGATGAGAGTGCTTGCTGTTCCCTCGTGTTTACTGCGGGATCACGGGTCCCTTGACAGGCATTGCTGTTGGGCAAAAGGGCTTTTAAAAGATACCCAACATCTTCAGCCCAAAAAATCTAATGCTCTCCACATCAGCCTTATAAGAAATCTTTTTCCAGGCCCCGTTCCCATCTCCAGGCACCGCTGCCCGGGCCATTCCCATCCATCGCCTCCACGCTCCTTGCGTGCGTCTGCTGCGGCTGGAGAGCGCTCGGCTGCGGGATGCAGTGCAGGGAGTGGGTCTGGCCGCCTTCTGCTGGAGGATCTAAGGTCCAAGGCAGAGCCCACCAGCCTGTCAACAGGCTTTCCA